TGAGCATCTCTGTTCTTTGGTAGCCAGTGTGGGAGTGTGCCAGAGTCGAGGGTGGCTGGGTGGGGGGGGTCATCCTGCCAATGCACGAGCTGAACCAATCGTGACGTCTCAGCCCGTTTTTATATATTCCAATAACTGTTAAAACCGAACTAATCAGAATCATGAACATTATTGTTGTTACACCAAATTAAATATTTTTTTCCACCATAAATGTGAAAGACCAGTTTTTGGCAAAAGAACAGTCTACCACTTGTACACGTTGCTAAAGAAAAAGGAAAACATACATTTTACATTATTATCTATAAGGTTCAGCAGTTCATTCAAACAAAAGACCTCAAGTTAGAAAATCTTGGGTTTCTAAGTTTTTGTAAGTGAATTAAAAATTACTTGTACATATTAATAATATAGTTAATATATAATCTTATGTTATGCAAACAGCAAGGATTATAGGTCAAGAATAAGGTCAAGCTTACTGCACCGTAATTATGATTTGATTTGATAATCTTGGGAACATTTTTAAGGTAACTGAAGGCTGGCTGATCTGAGGTCAGCACAGTTTAAGACTCACCACAATGCAACAGACAAGGTGTGGAGAGCTTTCTGTCCTTATGACGTCAAAGTGAAGGCACAGGGGGCCTGTAGCATGAACCCACAACTTTATTCAAACAAACACAAATCAGCAGAGATCTGGCAGTCCTCGATGAGGAGGCTACAGCGACCTGCCTCAGAGGGGCTCATGGAGCTCAACTCCACCTCAACTGTTGTCTTGTCAAACAAACTCACCAGCGGCAGAGAGCCAAAGATTTGGAGGACCCCAGTGATTTAAGGATAATAAACGTGAACTCCGCTGATACAATATCGGGCATGGCCCTGTGAGGGCGAGCAGCTCATCAGCACTTGGACACTTATTAGCTGAACATAACATTTGAACAAATCTTCAAGAGGTCCGATCAAAACAGAGATATCCATCAAGGAGCACTTGCTGACCCAAAATGACAGACAACGCCAAAATAAAACTGTTTTTTAAACCTGCCTGTGAATGGGCTGTTTGCCTGGCCTGTGCTAATGCTCTGAGGTTACTTCAGATTTACTGTATTTCTTGTCATTAGTGAGTCCTCCTCAAACAGTTCTTCAATGTACTGTCACTTTTTATTGTTTGTGTGCTGGACTTCTGAAATACAGCTCGATATAAAGTAACAAAAAAGCAACAAAACCAATATTTGCTTTTCCTTTTTAACAAATTGCTAAGGGGTTCACAGGTCTACCACTTCCAAACAATCTCTAGACTGGTTCCTGAGAAGACCAAACCCCTAGGGAGGTTGCTGGATGTCACTATGTTTCTGCTATCAACGGTTGCAGTTGTCCCTGCCCGACCTGTTCTATGTCTGCTGCTCAGTACACCAGTAGTTCCCTCCTTTGTCAGGATATTGTACAATGACTTTACTTCATCTTCCCTATTTTCTCTATTCTCCAAAATGGCTTTCTATGCTCCTATTGACAATACACTGGCCTACATGTTTGTTTATCCTAACAACAAGTGTAGTATTCACAGGTGAATCCCAAGGCTTTAACCAAGAGTAGACATTCAGAGCTATTTAATGTTTGAACAACAGACTAGAAACACCATCAGTCACAGATTTTAATACTTGAAAAACTTGAAAAATGGGTAGGCTCAAAGAGTAGGTGCAATGTCATCTAGATCTAAATATCAGAGAATAAAAGCTGATATTCTGAGCTCTTGTCTCATGTTTTCTTTTGACTTTAAACTGTAATAACTTCAGTGTACAACAAAGGAATTGGCCCGAGAGTGCTTCAACGTTAATTTTTACAGTCACAACCTGCAGCAGTACACGTTACAGCATGCAGTGTGACTGTTTTTATGTGTGTGTGTAAGGCCTGAGGGCTGACTGTCAGAAACAGATAACAGAACCATTAGTGTGGGCAGATCGGCAGTTTGTGATCTCCATCGAGATCTGAAGGCACATCACTGCGCTCGTTTACTGAAACGCTGCTCTCTTTTTTCCACACTGGTTAGCCCTCAGCTACAGACCCGCCTTGCTGAGTTGCCACGACCTATCGGGTTGGTTAGAGTGAGACAAGAGGTGACAGCTATTGTGACACAGTCCAACTGATAGAGATTCATTATCTCCCCAAAACATGCCTCTCTCTCTCTCTCTCTCTCACTCTCTCACTCTGCTCTCTCTCTTTCCAAGCTCCCTGGCTTGTTCCATGGATGAGGAGAACAAAATAAAACACGCATGCAGAATATTAAGTGGTTTGGCAGTTGGTATCTGAATAAATGAGCATAATGAATACATAATACTGCTGGTCAGGGATTAGTGGTTCAGTAATAGGCCTTTTGAGTGGAAGGGGGTGGGTGGGGGTGGTGGTTATGATGCAGGAGCTGACGTCTCTCTTAACAGCACATGTGACTGTAAGAGCAATGGTAAAAAAATGAAATTAAAAGAAGAGAGAGCAAGGCCATTCAGCATAAACAAAAAATAAATAAATAAATGTCGATAGCCTCATAAATCTATTTGCTAAGGTTTTAGTATTAAACACGCACAGCTCTGTCGGACTTCTGCACTCTAACCCAGCCTGTTCTGGTCAGTTCTCCTGACCTGTCACTTTGATTAGTGCGTGTGCTAACTTAACCAAGCAACATAATTACAGCTGTTTGCACTGTATGTTGGGGGGGACGTTGCGATCCGGCAAAAAGTACTCAAGGGAATGATCAACCTGCATGGTCATGGTTGCTTGCAAATCTGATAATGTTAGTCTGGTACTAGAAAAGTAAAGAATAAAGGGTTGTCAGATTCTTCTATGAATCATATTATGATACCATCAAGGTGATAACAACATGCGCGATATACGTATCACAAAAGACGGCCATGTATTCATGCACCGCATGCAAATATACTCGGCCAATCAGATGGATAATAAAGATAATCAGATAATTGATGGGCCTGTCCAGGGTTTTTACTCCATAGAGAAGTGCTGGGCCCAGCTCAGTTTGGCTCGATGCGGTTGGCAGTGCACAGCACGAATGATAGAGACACAGAGAGGAGAAGTAAATTACTGACAGAGCTGCTAAAACTCTAAAACATAACTTTTTTACAGTCCAAACATCTATGAAAACACCCCGAATGATCACTGTCATCAGACTTAGTGGAAGTGATGACAATTCTAACACGCAAAAGATGCAAAAATGAAGCAAACAAGAAAAAAAGAAAACAAATGTGTTCAGATGAAAAGCGCGTACACGTAGAAGACACCATCGAAGATGTCAGGAGAGTTTGTGGTGACAAGAGCTGATGCCGGTGTCTTGACCCCAAGAAACGTGATCTCTGCAGTGGAATTAATATGTCACTTCCTGCCTTTGCCTGCTGCACCCGGCTGCTCCACCTTTCACCTGAATAATGTGGAGGAATTGATGCTGTTGTGAATGCGTCCGTGCAGAAAACCTCCTGCTGCGTTGTGAAAGGCAAACTGTGAGTAAACTCTGTAGCCAATTCTCCTGATTTTACTTGCAGGTCATGTCTGAAAATGGCTTTAGAGGAGAGTTGCACCAGTTTTACAAATCAGTCTCTTTAAGAGTCTTGGTAAGTACTACTGCATATGTGAAAAATAAAGCAGAGAGAGTTGCTTGAAGTCTGACAAATTGTCTTGTGATGATACAGTTACACACACAAACACATGAGGCTGACTGAGGAAAAGTAATACCGGACTAAGATAAACTTTAGCACTGAATGAATGTAGGAAGGAAAATAAAAAAAACTAGCAGGATCAAAGAGTAAGGGAGAGAGTCAGGGAGGCAGAGGAAGGTTCTTTGTAGAGCGTTTCATGGTGAAAGCAGGGTGGTGGTGGTGCTTCAGAGAGGACAAAGTGAACACAGTGGAAAGGACTGTGGAGGTGCAGATCCTCACACAAAGCGATGGTCAATTCAACCTTATTGTTGCAGAAGAAGTCATGTGTTGCTAAAAAGCAGAATCACTTGTTAACCAGCGTGGAGAAATGTGGCCTGTGTTGTTAACAGCAAGACTACTACTTGAACCAGACTGAAGCTTTCTGCAAGCTGCTGAGGCTCTGTTCTGATAGGGTTGGGCAACAGGACGAGTAAATCGATTGACTGAGCCCTTAGCAGGTGGTTTTTGGGGCAATTTGTTGTATTATTTTGCGTATATAATGGTCTACCTCCTTCAGATTAATTCAACAATTAATCTGCAAATATAGCACAGGGAATTATTTGTGGTGCTAGAATGTTGTAAATATGATTTAAAATTCAGAACAAAGACAACAAACCATCAAATTCAGGTCCTTCAGCTTCCAGATTAAAGCCTAAAATAAACCCAAGTAGGTGATTTTGTATTCTTCTTTACAAGGAGCTCTTCCATGCATTCGCTGATACTGTCTTGTGCCCCTGCACGAGTGCGTGCACACACGCCTGCGTGAATATATATCGCAGATTGTTCAGCTGATGGTGGCCGACTGAAAAATGTTTTGAATATCATCCAACCCTGTCTTACTTACTTTTTACAAGGTTTTTAGACTGCAGTGTAAAAAGACCATCCATGCCTGATCACTCGACATCAGTTCACTTGTGTGAGTATAAATGTTTGCTGTGCACACTTGTACACCATGAACAATCTTCTTCTACTCTAACCCACTACTCAGGGAGTTATTGTGTCCTCCATTTAAAACTGAAGCTCTCAGCACCAATTCTTTACTCCATCGACAAAATCAAACAAAAGCACTGAGGCATTTTTAAGAACATGCGGCTGCCAAAATAACGTGACGCCAGTGCATCAACTGACGTCACCACACACCAAGGCACAGTGCAGCACATCATCATGTATGAATGTCTGCGAGTTGATAACATTGTCAAACTGGCAACAAAACACAAAATCCAATGCTGTGTTATCAGCTAGTGCACAATAATCATTGTCTGGAAGGAGAAGATAGTAAAGGAAAGGAAAGTAGATCTAGAAATATCACTCTACCTGTTCTAATTTGAAGATGTGCTGGTTGAAGTAGTGCTGGAGTCGCTCGTTGGCGAAGTTGATGCAGAACTGTTCAAAGCTGTTGCTCTCATAATCCTCAAAACCAAAGATGTCGAGGACTCCTATGGAGAGGATCTAGAATAAAAAAACACAAAGCTCATTTTTTGTCCATATTTGAAATATGGATGTTGTTATTCATCATAAACATTATGGTTAAGTTTGACACTGTAAACATCAGCGATCCTTTATCATCTTTAATTTTATTGTGTTTCTTATAATATCTAATTCTTTACAGCTCCAGTGACACAGTTGACCTCTGGGTGTCAGTAAGATTCATGTCAGCATAAATCAGTTTAACATGCACCATCTAAAGGAGGCAAAGACAGCCTTTAATTATGAAATGGACTACAAACGTGGTGTCCAATTTCACTTACATTTATTCAGCAGTGTTTTATTTCTCTCTGAAGGGCTATTTTTTATTCAGGCATTAAAACATACAGAACATGAACACACACTGCATGCATCCACTGTGATGTGCACATAAGAACAATGACCTTGACAGAAAGTAAAACCTCATCGACCCCCTGACAAACACACACAGATGACATCAGCACACATGCACGTGTGCCCAGACACACACACACTGCGCAGGGGCAGAAGAGGGCCGCAGGGAGTAAACTGAGCTGAGGGGAACTTGATGCCATCTGCCCAATATTCCTGTCATGCGCGCACACTCCATGCACACGCACACACACACCACACACCACACACACACACACACACACACACACACACACACACACACGAACACACACACACACAGAATGATCAGTTTTCTAATCCTTATGATTCCCCCACTGGGTATGACTTGCCAGCTGCCACTCCCAACGCACAAGGACACACACACAAACGTGCGCACACCACACACAAACGTGCGCACACACACGCAGTGGTATTCTATATCACAACACTTCCAGCCTCTCAGCCTCTGGGAGTAAAGGAAGCCAGCCAGCCAGGCAGACAGAGAGACAGACAGGCAGACAGATGAACAGACAGACAGACAGGCAGACACACACACAGACAGGAAGACAGACAGACAAACACACACAGACAGACAGACAGACAGACAGACAGACAGACAGACAGAAAGACAGGAAGACAGACACAGGTGGACAGATATATAGACAGACAGGCGTTCAGACGGACAGACATTCAGACAGACAGAGGACAGGGAGCCCAGTTCATACACATAAACACTAAGAACAGCAGAAAGAACAAAGGCTAGACGAGAATGAGGGTGAATGGAAAACGTCTGTTTTTCCATGAGGAGCTAAATATTTCTCTTTTAGTATAACAGACCAGTGGACATGTTTCAAAGCACAGTGATATTTATGACATTATTGTACCAGCTTACAGCTTGTTGTGGAACAAATAAAACTAAATGCTCTTAGACCATTTTAATATCCCTCATAAAACCAGCTTCTGAATTTTAAATCATATTTACGAATAAAATGTGTTTGTGGGGAAACAATTCAATATGGACAGAAGCCTCTATAAATTCAGTGGGATTCAATCTTAACACTGGAACATTCATATATTATGTGTATGTTGTCAGATGTTTTGGAAATCATTTTAAACTAGGATTTAAAATGAAGGCCCCCTGATGTTGAGGGTTTGCTCTCATCATCTCATGCACAGAAAATGTTCAAATGTTTGAACGTAATGTTGGTGAGAGAAGACTAGAAACTGAAGGTGACTGTTCATCTGCTGAGAGTTAAAGTCACTGATGTTTATGATAAATCAATCATTGCACTTGGTTAAATTTTCCTTTTATGATTATAGCTATACTTTTGACCCTTTCTAAGCGTAAAACCTTTTTCCATAACATATTATTTTTTAGAGTTTCCCCTCAGGTTTTTTTTTATTATGCACAAATATGCATAAAAACAGCTGAATGGAAAAGCACCTGATGTGGTTAAACTGAGAATTGAACAGTCTGCCATTCGAGAAAATTGTGTTCTGCCCAACTGAAAGTTCATCTTAACAAACACAGCACAAGACATAACAACACTGTATGTTACCATGACCATAATGATGTTTAACACACTTAATTTACATCTGCTGTCCAAAGACAGTTATAAATTAGTTAAATAAACAGAACCTGAGACTGGCACAGTACAATTAACAAAGACAAAAAAAAAAAAGCCTGGTGGGATGTAGAGCCAACCCTACTGACAACGCAGTCTGTCCAAATGTGACAGATAAATTAAGTACCCTTTATTAGCGACCCCAGTATTATTGCATATGTCCGTTTTTTAATTGAATAATTTAAAGGAGGCAGAGCATGTTCATTATACATGAGAAAATCAGACTAAAACATATGAAGTTTTCAAAAAGTGACGAACAATGTTTCATGATTCAACGCTGTGTGTGTGAAAACATGAGAGTCAGTGTGCTTTCACTCTCACCTTTGAACTGTCCTCCAGGTCCTTGTTGTTGAGCAGGGCGTGGTTGGTCCTGAACACAATCCAGTCAAACAGTGCACTGTACAGTGACTTGGCCATGGAGTCCCTCACAGTGCCCGCCTGCACGCACACACACACACACACACACACACACACACACACACACACACACACACACACACACACACACACACACANACACACACACACACACACACATACATACACACAGAGTATGTCAGTTTATTTCTGATCATTAGCATAGGGGTTTCCCTTGTCAAAAACAGAGGCTGATAGTTTTAAATCCCACTCTGAATGTGTTTTATGTGTCCGAGCCTCAATGAGGTAACTCCACTCTGCTGCTCAACCTTTCTAATTTCTCAGAGGGTAAATTGTTGCAGTGTTGACCCACAATTTAACAGCAACTCAACACGTCAATACTCTTCAGCAGTCAAAGTGATCCAGCAGCATGGCTCGTCTTATTGCTTGAACAACAAACGATAGGTATTGATGATAGTAACCTGCCAACTTCACCACATCACATCCAAAGACCTGACATCTTCAATAGATTAGGACAGGGCAAAAAGACAAACATAACATTAATGTCCCCTCCTGCTTCTCTGGGGCTGGATCAGTGTCAGGTAAATGTGTGAGGTGGGCAGAGAGAAGAGGTGTAATGAACCACTGAACAGGCAGCAGCTGACGATATTGACTGAGAGGAATAAGATTTAGAAAGCACAAGGAAAAGATAGAGATGGATGGGTCAGAAATGTTGTGGTCAAGAATCAATCAAGGACTCGGCAGAGAGGGGGTCAATAATTAGCTGTTCACGCAGTCGTGTTTGTTCATGAGCACGATTAAACAAACATTACTAGATGGATTGCAATGAAACTTGGTCGAGGGATGTGGAGTAGCACTTTCTAGTGCTACTCTAGTTTAATACCATGTCATGTCTCCTGATACTGACTGAAGGGTTCCTTCAGCAGTAGATCGTGAATGCAGCACTGTATCTGTGAGGTGGGTCAAACTGATCACAATGTGCTATAGATCATTATATCAAATTCTTTTTGTGTGTATTAACAATAATTAATAATGTGAGAGCACAGAAGGAGATTATCCGGAGGATTCACCCGGAGAGAGGGGCCATATTGATGACGTTTCTAACACTGGAAAGATGCAAAACATTAAAAAAAATAAAAGAATCCAAAAATCTCAGGATGAAAGGAGGTGCCATATATGTAGAAGACACAGAGATGATGAAAGAGAGCTTTTGGTGACAAGGGCTGAAGCCAGTGTCGAATCCAGATGTCTGTGTTGTGTCTGACGGAGAATCTCCTGCTGCTTGTTTATGTGTGAAAGGCAGAGAAAATCCAGACCCAATTGTGTGGGCCTTCTCCGGAGTTTATGCCTGAAAATGGCAATGCAAAACCAGATGGAAAAGCTAAATCTCCTTGGTGAAGGTGAAGTATTAGCTCAAGTAATCTGCCTAGCAGCTAAATGACTGTGCTACTGTAATTTAGCGATGGGATATGGGAAATACCAGGGATATAACAACATCCACTGTATTTAGAGCCTGTGTTAAAGCTCCCACTCTGCTCACAACTGTTTTTATGTTTGGTGGTCTTACTGTGTGCCATGCTGTAATACTGTTGGTGTTTCCAGTCAGGAGCCAGAGCCCTGTCTGCCTCCAGACGTGCAGATCACGACTTGGACACATTTTTCATGGATCCATAAAAAAAACATCACTGCCAAGACAAGCAGTTATGTCTCAACAAGCCAAAGAGCGACTGTGGTCACACGATGAAAGCTTTGCTGAGCTATTATAAGAGTTGAGGGGTTAAACAGAGACTTGGACACAAGAGCACGTTCTTTGGCAGCTGGAGGTGTTATGATTGAATTAGAGGCGCTGAACAAGACAAAAGAACCAGCTTTAACTATAGGTCAAAGATTTTCATGGCAAGAAACCCAAATAGTTGTGCTTTACAACAGAGACCCTCATTTGTTCAGTTTAATCCAATCAGACGAGATGCAATTCAGCAGAGGATGTCAACCTTTGTCGACCTCTGAAAACTCAAACAACACAAATCGCACCCACTACTAACACAATGAAACCACAACAAGCAACCTTTACTAATCTGCCTTAACAAACACATGAATGGTAAATCACAGGTTAGTCATATACAACAACGAGTTAAGTTCTGCTGGTGGTCATGAACATTTTTAAATCGAGCATTAGGATCCTTACAAACAGCTCAACAGGATGCTGTAGACTACACTAAAAAATAAACTCTCACTATAGACCAGCTGGTATAGAAGTGTAACGCACTTCTCCACAAATTCAACCATTTAATACAATAATAGAAAATCAACTTTTTAACTTTTCTCCACTGTGAAACACATCAAGACATGTAATACCAGAGACATTTGACCAGAACAGTCCAGTTCTATGATTTGTTTGGTGACTGACACTGTTGTGACCATTGAAAGCAAGTAGGCAAGATTCCAGAGGTGTCATCTTTCTACATAGACAGCTCAGTAGTATTTATAAAATATATATAATCAAGTGAAGTTTATTCATATAGGTTATTACATATGATTAGGATAGACTCAATGTGATTCAAGATCAAAAGTCAGGACCTGGTAATTATTAAATTCAGTGTAGCTATGATATTTATCAGTGGAGATATGAAACACAGAGGGCCAATACAGTTCTACTCTGTTATTGTAGTAAAATCATGTTCTGTGTTTGTGGTTTTCCTGGTTAAAGAAAGAATGAAGTCAACATACACTGTTTTATCACCATGAGGAAAGCAACCAGATAAAAGGCAGTCTGGTTATTCCTGGAGCAAGAAAAAAAAAGCTGGCGCAGACTCAGTCTACAAGAACATAATGACTGAAAAACAAAACAAAATGTCCTAAATCAGTTATATAATGATAAAAATTAAATAAAAAACTCTGTGGGACACTGTGAACCTGATCAAGCCCCACTGTGGATGCACTCTCTATGAAGGACAGTGCGAAACACCACCTGCTGAGGCCACATGCAGCCAAGAGCCGTGATGAAGCATTTTATAAGCTGCCTCTTTGCTCCTGCATTATTGATTGTGTGTTATATTTTTAGAGAGCAGGCCTGTGACGTGTGTCTTCCCACAAAGTTATGTAAAAATGTGACGAAGAAGACAAGGTTTAAAAAAGAACCATGATTTAAATGGTTCTGCAGGAATCTGATGAGGGGGGGCTTGGCAAATCTTATACAAACACTTGACGTGCTAACTGAGCACTTATTGTTGCTGTGTTTGCCATGTAATTCAATTATTCACCACAATGGGACCAGTTAGGAACTGGGAGGGAGTGTGGCTGGGAGCAAATGGGTCAAAAATGTTTTTCTGGAGGGCCACCCAAGAATCTGACAAAATGATTAGCAGGACTTCATCAGAGACTTTTGTAAAGTGTAACGGTCTGGGTTGTTAAGGCGGCTCTTCCCTGGTGTTTGTGATTATAAGGTTCTGCTGAGGGGAAGTTGTTTTTCTGTTTCCATCTCTTTATCTCTTTCTTTCTGCTGAAAACCACAGGAGGTGTGAAACATCAGCTTGAGCTCACATAGCACGTGGCCGGCTGGTTTACACACTGCAGGATGTTTTGTGGGTTTCACCACAATATGCCAATCTGCATATGTTTTTAATTAGTATACGTGTGTATGTGTGTGTGTGTGTGTGTGTGTGTGTGTGTGTGTGTGTATTCATATATGTTAAGTGATACATTTTACAATCCCCCTGCACTGGGTAAGTACCTCTGCTCCCTCCTTGTGATGCTTCAGCCGCTTTGAAACAGTTGCTAATATGAAGCAGCAGCTTTTATATGAATGCAAAGCACATGAGCGTCTGACTGCCCCCCCCCCCATCACTTCCCCTGACCCATGTCTGTCTCTCACACAGGAAGGAGGAAATGATGGTGTCAGCTTATCTGGAGCCACATCTAAAACGCCAAAGTCAGACAGGACACCTGATCTTAAAAGACAGAGGTTCACAAACATGTGCACATTCACTCACTTCACACATGCACACGCTCCCAGCCCAGACCTGAAATACACTGAGTCCAAACCAGAGCTCAACCACAAAGAGATTATTTGCACCTTGGCCGGCTGAAGGATGGAACTGCAACGCCCCCACTGACTGCTACAGAGCGCTGGTCGCCTGTTTATTCAATTTCTATTAATATTGAAGGTATCGCAGGTCAATGCTCATCACTAGGCCACTAAGAATATGTCTGCCATGTGTGAAGCTAATAAATTCATGAGAAATGGGTTCCACATTCAGAGAGGTGTTTGTGGAATTAGTAGGGAGATAATAACTATTGCCTTGAAGTTGATGTATTGTTATCATCCTTATCACTTTTTTCAAATTTAGTGGGAAATAAAGAAGTTGTTGTTTCTTTATCAATCCCAGAATCAGACTTTATTCTTTAAGCACTAGAACAAGGACATCCTTAAATATACCTTCTGTTGCAAAGCTGCTGTTTAAAATGTTAGCATAATTCTCTTTTTATTAATTTCTGTGCTGAATGTGTGATGTGAGGCCTGCTTTGCTGAGGGAGTGGAGAAAAGAGAGAAAACCCGTCACAAACATTTATGTTTGTGTGGATATTGAGAACATGAGCCTTTATGTTTTTCTGCCTATTCTGAGTTGAACAGTGCCAAAACACAATCCTCAAAACAGATGCAAGTGCGCAACTCAATGGAAATAATGTCTGTGAACCTGTTTGAAGTGTGATGTATTGACTCGCTGAGCTTGTGAGAAGCAGAAGGACAGCATTAACGTCCTGTCCACACTAACGCAGATAGATGCGAAACAAACTTTTTCCTCGTTGTTTGGGCCTCTCGTTCACACGCGAACACAATTTAAGCCACTTCAGTCAGAAAACTGACGTTCAAATGTTTATGACAACAGTAGGTTAGTGTTTGGCATCTAGGCTCTGACTTAATCACTCCCCCCGATAGGATTACACAGTTATAGGAGCGATGAGCAAATGCTTGTAACCCCCCAAAACTGCACAAATTCAGAGCCTGACTATGTGTCGGCCATTCTCTGTAGGCGCATTGGCCTGCATGGCGTGTTTAGAAATGATAGCCAAGTAAGTATTGAGGCTTTCCTTGTGTTGCAGGTAAACTTGGTCTAAAGACTCGAAGTGACGCTGAACTCTACTGAGGTTTTCTTTGACTTGTTTTCATTGACTTTGGGCTGAAGCAACTGGCAGCAATACTGACGCAGCAGCGGGGCAAGCAAAGAGAGTGGTGGGAAATGTTCTCTGCTCAAACAGACCGCCTAATAAGGTGGGTGTATATTATAGATGATTGTAGAGAGTGAGATATGGCACATGATGTTTGTCACATGATTGGAGCAGCGCAGCTCGAGTTGGAGCCTGAACTACTGGTCCACAGCTTTCTTCTCTGATGTTTAATGGATCATTGACGTAGACTAGTGTGTTTCATCTAAATTGTACAAATTGTTGTTTTCTTTACCCTAGAATGAGCCCTTTATATTTAAATACTTTATATTTAAATACTTAATAT